TACCTGCCTTACCAGCCCATTTCTTCTGCAGCCAGCGAGCCTTTCCTGAAGGCCTCTAAAGCTGATAACCAAGTCCCACATCGATCTGGAGCTCTGTTATCTGTTGCAGAGGCCTTTAGGAAAGCCTTGCCAGCCACAAAAGAAGTTCCTGGAGGCCCCTAAAAAAATATAAGACGGGGTCTTATTTTTTGAGAAAACATGGTAGGTTTTGATCAAGCAAAAGCTGACAGCCCCCCACAGAATTCTATATGGGGGAATATAGAGGGACATTCATGTAAACCAATGCTTCTCCTCCCCCTAACACATTTCTATTTGTAGAACTCTCTGGTGCAGCTTCAAAAAGCAAAAGGGCTCTATTAGATACATTCCATAGTGCTTATTCATGTCAGTATATATAATTCATGGGCTGATTTGTTGAGAGAATAGCTGGTTTTAAAAATGGCTGCCCCAATTTTTGAAATCAGGTCAAGAAGTGATAGCTGCAGCATTCAATCCAGAGACTAGACTTGATATGTACAGTTTCCACAGGCAATCCAGAAATGGGGTTAAGAAATGAAACTCACATTTCATCCTTTATCACTTTGTTTGGATGGTCGCATAGATGCACTGCAATCTTGGTTATAAGCTTAGTATGCAAATGTCCCTTATTATCCTCTCCCCCACATGAACCTACAGTATTCTAAGTATTTAACATCTATGGCTCAGGGATTAAATCAATACTTCATTAGAAATATTCAGAAATCAGAAAATTGTCACCATTTGAGTGGGAGCAATGGAAATGATCCTTTAGAGGCCTTGGCCTGATTTCATCCTTATGAATATGGTTTCTACCTGATCAGCTTTTGAACTCTCTTAGGACTTGGCTAAATTATACCAGCTCAAGAGACTTGGACAGGAAGGTTACATCTAGATGCCAAGGTGATGGGCACTTTAGAAATGAGATAGATTGGATAGATTAGATAGAAAGACAGGCTTAAATGTCCTACTGAGCATTCATTTGTCTGACAGCCTGGAAAGTGCCAGCATTCCCAGGATTCAAGTGGAAATAGAAAATTGCATTTCCAGTGTAAAATGCACCGTGTGCCTTGATAATGTCACTTGTACTATGTAAAAGCAGAATCAGTTAAATCCCAGAGCCATCCTAAATACATTAAGAAACACTGAGCAAATTCTGCATCAGCAATCCACCAAAAACCCACCACAGAATTCCTTTTCTTCCCTCTTGATATCAGAGATTTAGTAAAGTGATATTGTACACACACTGTACATATTTTGATGCATTAATTTTTCTTTGCCATAGCCACACCAAACTGCCTCACTGCCCATCTTTTCCCGCTCTTGCACTAACATATTTTTCTTCATGATATCTAACACTTCTATCTTTGTGGACCTGTCAAAGCTGTGAAATTTCTTTTTGTTTAATTTTTATTTCCAACCCTTTGTTTTTAAGGTCTCCTCTTCCCTCCTTCCTTCCTTCCTATGGAAATTTTTGAGACTGCAGTGCCCATACAATTGGAAGGCACTAGCCTAGGAGAGTTTGTATTAAAGTGGAAAAAATAATAATCCAGGAATAGATGACAGTCCAAATGCATTAACACTACATATGAAACTTGATCACTTGATAGCAACCTCCCAGAGTCTCAGGGTTTAGCAGGAGACTTCACCAGCTCTGCTGGAGATGCTCAGGTTTGAACCTGAATTTTTTTTTTTGCAAACAGTATTAATACTTTGCTACCAAGCCAAGTTCAGTAATATATTTATGTCTCTGCCATGGAGTTTCTGTGCAACTAGGCAAACTTATGGACGACTGGGCTATCAGTGACAATTAGACTTGATGGTTTGTAGAAGAACCTCCTGACTGACAGATAGCATGATTTAAACATTTGCTACTGGAGAGCAATAGTAGAAAATGATTATTATCTTTCCATCCAGATCTCCCAGAATGCATCTCTTTGGCCACTGCAAAAAAAAACCAAAATGATAGACCACATTGCCCCTTCTTTTATTTTTGGTCCTGCGTGACTCTTCTTATCAGACATTGGACCTTACTAATACATTTATAAAATCAACACTGACATAACCAAGGAAAGTTTTCAATGTGTAGAAACTGAAATTTTGCACATACCAGGTTCAGATCTTGGGCCTCTCCATAACAATCACAATAATAATAATAAAACCCTCTCATCATGTTTTCTTTTTTGTTAACTCAGCCTAGAACCTGTGAGGTTTCATATCAACATCTCTTTGGAGATTTGGAACACATTGCCTCTTTTATTACTATCAACTAATTTAAACTTTTGGAAGTGTGGATGCAGTTTCTGGGGACAATGACAAATAGCCATGGATGTCACCTCCTAACCTTCTGTGTGCACAGAACATTATGGGTTGTACAGGAATGACCTGTCTCTGCAGATATCACTTTCAAACATTTTGCTCTTCAAAGGTGATTTTTTTTTTTGCAAGTTCAGCTGTAAATTTATCATTAGCGGCTAATTCTGTTGACCCAGATGATGCAACTGAGGCTGGCCTCCTCTTTGTTACTCTTCAGAACATTTCCTTTTATCCAGTGGGTTTGGACTGTGTGGGTGTGTGCATGCGTATGCCCAGGGTTGGGATTCAAAATTTTTAACAACCAGTTCTGTGGAGTGACTGCGCAGGGGAGAATGCAGTCAGCAATGTCGGGCAGGCGTGATAAGGACTGACTGGGCAGAGAGGGGAGGAATGGGTAGAGAGGGGTGGGACCAGCCAGGGACATGAATTGCTGGTTTCCCCGAACTGCGCAGGATCATAACAACCAGTTCTATAGAACTGGTCTGAACCTGTAGAATCCCACCCTTGCATATGCCATTGAGTCAGTCTTGACTCCTGGCAATTGCAACTTATGCCTATGGTTTACTCAGAATGGTCTCCCCTTGCTGCCTTCTTCTTAGAGCTCAGAGAGAAGGACTGGGCCAAAGTCACTCATGGTTCCATGCCTAAGAGAGGTCTAGAACTCCCAGTCTCCATCCATTGAGTCTGATGCCCAAACCACTTTACCAAACTGGCTATCACCCAGGCCATTAAGAGTTTTAAAACTCATTTTCCAGGGGTTTTTATTTGGTGAATTTGAATAGTTTTAACTATATACAAACATCTACTTGCCTCTGATGAATCCTCAAAAGAGGAAAATGGGGTGCCACATCTGGATCAACAGGACTTGCAGGAGACAGTAGAAGCCCAATCAGTTGTTTGGTTGATCATTTTTCCTAAAGAAAACACAGATTGAACCTATTCCTCCAGATCCTTGAGTGGCATCTGAGACTGTTGAAACAAAGATGGAGTAATTGCCTTCATCTCTTCCCATTGGCTCCTGCAAGTCCTGATTCTGAAAAATATAGCAAATCTTTCTCAGTAAATGCAGAAAGACAGTAATCTGGAGCACACAGGAATGAGGAGGACACTCTCTATTTTTCAAACATACAAATAAATAAATGTATTGGAACTAGCATGTTGGACATGATGAAAATTTAAATAGTCTTAAAATTCAGGAGATAGGCTGACTCCAAAATCTTGTAGAAGGAGAGCAGGAGAAACAGGTCAGAAGTTGCCAATTAGCCATCACTTCCTAGCTTGCAAGTGAGCAAGTACACAACTGAACTGATTATAATTTTTCCCACTGTGGTAAGTTATCTTTACATTTAAATTATAGTAATTTCATCGATACTTGCTTCGACACACATAAGGTAGCATATGTATTTTTGTGTGAGATGTTTTTCCTCTTTTTGTTTGATGAACATCCTACCTCTGAACAATTATTTCAAACACTGAATGAACTAGTATGTAGTAAAAACGCTTTTGACAAGAGATGCCTTCTACAATGTTCCACCTTTCAATTACAAAGCTACCTTTGTCCTCCATTATCTTGAAATGAATGCAAATCATGACACACCAAAGTTAAAAGAATATAGAGAGAGAGACCATTTCTTTCCCTCATCAACTCCATTTGAGATGAATCCACATCATCTACATTTAAATGCAAACACATCACGGCTGATTCGAGGAACATGAATTTTCCACAGTATCCAAATATAAAAAGTACATTTGTCAAGAAATAGTAGATGATAGGGGAAAATATTTTACGCCTGCCTACTTCCAATGCATGGTAAGGTGCCAATCTTGATTCTTCCATGCCTTTTCTATTTATCAATAGTTCTATTTTCAAGTTTAAAAAAAAAGATGACAAAATGAATGCATTGGACTTTGCTCTTGAAGCAAAGTTCTCTCCTGAGAATACCATGGTTATTCAATAAAACATACAAATGGATGATCAAATGAATCAAGCTAGAGTTCTCACTCAAGGGGAAAAAAGACTAAACTTAAATTTTCTTACTTGGGGTAAGGCTTAGGTCTATGGAGAAATTTATTATTCTGAGAAAAGTAGAAGAGAACTATATTAGCAAATAGACATACATTACTTCACAGTGCTTTACAGCCCTCTTTAATCAGTTTACAGAGTCAGCATATTATCCCAAACAATCTGGATCCTCATTTTACTGATCTCAGAAGGATGGAAGGATGAGACAACTTTGAGTTGGTCAGGATGCAACTCCTAGAGTGAGCAGTGACTTAGCCTGCAGTACTGCATTCTAACCACAGTGCCACCATTACCTGAATCCATGCTTAGATTTAACCACTGAAATCAGCCAGATATATTGATTGGAAATCAGCTGAATCTGTCGCTATTTTTTGAAAATGTAACTAATTATAGAATGTAAACCTTTGACTAGTTTGGCCTGTGGTCTTGGTCATAAGTTTGTATTTCATATTACCCTCTATCTGACTGAAGACCTCTCGACTGGAGCAGAGACACACATCTGGATAGGACAAAAGAAAGAGCTTTCTTAGTAGACCTCCTGGTTTGTTGTTGCTTAGAGGAGTTTTATTGAAATGGAAGAAAAACCTTTGTACCTATCCTAAGTGGAAAATGAGATGTTCCACACTGACATTGTTGTTACTGGGCATGTCGATTCTGGCAACTCTACAATCATCTGTTCAGTTTTAATTTACAAAAGTGGAGGCATTGATAAGAGAACCATTGAGAAGTTTGAGAAGGACCCCTCTGAGGTAATTATAGGAACCATCAAGTGTATATGAATATTGGAGAAACTGAAGGCAGTATGGGAATTTGAAGTATGCAAATGCTGTGTTATTATTATTGAAGCTCATGGACACAGAGATTACATAAAAAAACATGATAACTGGTACTTTCTAAGATGACTATACTCTTCCTGCTGGTGTTCATAAATCTGAAGCAGGTATTTTCCAAGAACAGCCAAACTGTGAATGTGCCATTCTGGTCTAGATTCTGTCTATAAAACAACTTTTATGCCAGATTCTGTCTGGAAAAGAGATAACATGTTGGAGCCTCTCTCTAATACATCCTACATTAAAGGGCAGAAGGTGATTCATAACGATGATACCAGCAAATCTATACTTTGGAATCCCTACTTACTGAGAGATATCATTAAAATCTTACTTGGGGGGTGGGGGTGGCATTTGCCTATGCTATCACTTGTTTTGGTTTGTTTTAAATGTTCATTAGATATTTCCATCTACAACTTCAGGAGGAAAACTGTTCCACTGACTAACTGTTCTCAGTGTCAGGAAATTTCACCTTGGTTCCAGATGGGAATCTCCCTCTGATGGGTTTCCATCTCGTATTTCTTATGGTGAAACATATGTACACACACATGAAGGTTTGGAATGCAAAAGAGAGAGACAGATATAGATTGATAGATTAGGTTGGGTGAGATTAGATTAGATTGGATTGGATTGGATTGGATTAGATTAGATTACAGACAGACATATAATCTGTAATTCCCCATGTTTACTTTTTTTTTTTTAGAAAAACACATTAGAATGCTGGAACATTGCCTTATGCTTCAGGCAAACATGAACTTCAAATCTTCTTTAAAAATCCTCTCATTTTAAATAATAGGGAAATCAGTGACTGCCACCTGCCAGATGGCAAACAAGTTCAATTGCTGCAGCTAATCAAATGTACAAATAATCTGTTTTCTCCAGCTCTTTCTGTATTTCCCCATTCCACATGACAGCACTTTATGAGGTATAGTTATGCCCATCATTTAAGCCACTATTAAATTCTGCCTAAAAGAAAAGTGAAAGTAAATCTCTTGGTGAAGACATCCATATGAATTTCAAGGAAGGTTAAAGAACTTTACAAAGAGGTCAAGAATATATTTTATCCATGTGTGGAATGGCCAATAACAGGGATAAATGCCTGTAATCTGACAATGATTAAACTCCCCCTCCCCCTCAAAAAAATAAAGAAGGCAAAAAAAGAGTCAACTCTTTTTTATAAACTGTGCTGGCATAAATTATCAAAAATATATTTGTAGCCAGTTCACTATGACTTCTATATCTTAAATATAGAAGGAAAGGGGGTCCTATAGTCTCAAAGAAGTTCAGTGTATCAGCACATTCTGAATGGTTTACCGTATCACAAGGATTTCTATAATAATGTATTATCAAATGTTTCTCTAATAATTGCCAGGTAGCAAAATATAAAAGCTCTTTAAAACTTTCCCCTTGCCCTCAAAGCTACAGCTGGAACACTCAAGAATAATTTTCATAAGAATAATATGTCAGTATATTCATGAACTGGAATAGAGCTTGGTAACAAGGTCAGCCAATGAATAGGCATGGCAACTAAATCAGCCAATGAGGATAGTTTGGAAACTGAAACTAGAAGTAGCCTAGGCTGGAAACTGAAACAAAAAGTAGCTTAGCCTTAGTTCTATGTTAAGTTCTGCAACTCTGCAGCTGTGTTGAAGCTCTGAGTCTGTCTATTGAGATGAAACTGGCTCTCTCCTCCTCCTCCTCTTGCTTGCCTGCTGATCTATTGAAGATGAAACTAACTTGCTTTCTTGCTGAAGGCTGGAGCTCTGCTCTGAACTTGCAACATGTTTCTGTTTGAGTTTGCTCCACGTTGGAGAAATCTACAGCTGGTTTATAAAATCTACTTATGTTTACAAAGATTTTAAACGAAGCATCAGCCATCTGTGTTTATTTTTTTGGTGCTGAATTATCACTGCAAAACTCTCAATATAATAATTCAGGGAAGACTTTTTAAAATTATGAATACAGTACCATTGTCTCTCTCCTTCCCTGGTTTTCATTTTAAAAACAACAACAACTTTGTTTTCTTTTACAACTTAACCCTGCTTTGGACTTCCAGAGTAACAGATGCAAAAACGGAGGTCCAAGATCAAAATCCAACATGCTCTGTTTTGAATTATCCTGCTCTGTTGAGGTTTCAGCCAAATGTGATGTACACCCTGGTCTCTGGACCTCTTCAGGGGCAGGAACAATTTTTATAGCTGAAGTTAGTCATATCTCTGTTCTCTTATCTCAGATGGAAATCAGCCAGAAAGAGGAACCTGTGTCCATTGTCTTGTCTTGTCTTTTTCCCCTTTGAAACAAAATTCTTTTTGGGTTATGTTGCCAAGTACAAATACAATACTCTACATAGAAACAGGTGTTTCTAGGTGTTCAAAAGGATGGCTAAAATCCTGAGCAGAATTATACAAAATAGAAACAGAAATGCTAAGACAGCAAAGATGTAACCTAACTCTAGGAAAAACTATGAATTTATCTGCAAAAAATCTTCGGCATGAAGCCGATCTGAACAGACTTCCTTCAAAGCCCATGTCAGGCTAGTACATTTGTAATCCACCACAGCTGGTTTCTCTGCAATAAAAAATACATATATAAAAATATATGTATTTAAAATTGTTTCTTTTTTTTCCCTTCCAAAGTTGCACTTTTGTATTCTTTGTTTCCCTCACATATACTTCTGTTTCTTGGCGACTTGGGAGATTTATTGTAAAATGCTCACTTTATAACAGATATTCCAGCTCCCGTTAGAATTTCAGCTTTAAAACTAAAGCACCACTTTTTTCGGGAGGTGGAAATGCAAAAATATAGAGTTAAAAACAAACATTCTGTCAGTTCAACGTGCTACATTAAAAGTAAATTTAATACTCTGTTCAAAACAAAAGAATCTTGGATATCATTTTCAGTAATGTTAAAAAACAGCTACAGAAATATTTATGCCTTAGACAGATATACAAAGAGTTCTACACTGATTTTAAATGTTCTCTGTAAAATATGACTGATTGCATTTAGCTTTTAATCAGGCCTTATAAATGACCATTTAAAATTTTATGTCAGATCTGGGAAGTAGGAGCAGGTTACTCTGCTTATTCTAATATTTCTGTAAAAAATTGAATTAAATTTCATTACACTGAATCTGTTGGAAAGGCAAATTTCTATTGCTCAATGGTTTTATATACTTTATATGCTGTATATTTCAAAAAGAAACATTCAAGTGTTCAGGATGTTAGTTAATATTTGTACTAGTAAAAAAAAATCAGCATGTTTTAATTCAGTTTGCGACTCAAACGAGAAACTATTCATACTGCCACAGATTGTAATCAACTAGTTTTAAAACCCATGGAAGTACCTTTAGCTCCTAGTAAGTTTTCACTTTGGAATAATTCTCAAATGTTATTATCTACGTTTATTTGGGCAGTAATTAGGGAGGAGCATGCTGGCTTTGTTAATTTTGCTTTCTTCTATATTCAAAAATCTGTAGAACTCAGTCCTTCCTTTAGTAACTCTGAACTTGGAGATATGTCAAATAAAAAATATGGGAGTAAAAGATATTGTTAAGCATTGAGACCAGTGAAAAGTCATTTGTTTTATTATTCACACACACACACACACACACACACACACACACCACAGATACAAACTTCAGTCAGCATTAGAACTTTATTTGAATAGCTAGCAATTCCGTACTCAGAAATTCAGACCTGCATTTTTAAACATCTAAACAACTGGATCTTTCTCTTATACTCAAGCTATTTACATCTGTAATTTCTTCACTTGCATTTGTAAAGGAATGTCTCAGGGCAACCCATTTCTGCTGCAGGATGCCTCCCAATAAGTAGAAAAGGAAATCTACTTAGAACTTCAGCAGTTCACATTATCCCCCATTTGTGTATGTGTGTGTGTGTGTGAGTGTGTCAGAAAGGGAGGGATCTAGATACCTAAAAGTAAGGCGCTCTTTTCATCTATTCCTATTTCATCATTTTAAGAAGGCTACCTCTACCTTCAGTTTAGCAAGGGGAATTTGCAGGAATTACAGTTTTTGTTTAGTTTTTAATAATGTCCTTTAGACAAAAATATGCCAGGACAATTCACAACAATAATATGCCAATATAGTCCCACCATTAAAATATTCTCATAATGCGCAATAAAATAAGAAGAGTCTCAGATTCAAATGAACAATTCAAAGACAACATATAGCAACAATTTCTTAAGTATTAATTCTATCTTAAATGGCTACTAGAATCAACTTACCTTTAGGGGGTTCCTAATACAGCATACATGCCAGAGGATGCTAGAAATGAAAATGACTTCTCTTGGTATTATCAAAGCTCCATATCTAAACATTTCAAGCTATGATCTGAACTGTATTCACAGTATACAAGATAAAATTTGTATAATAAAATCTACTGTGTCAGATGGGCTGGCTGTATATTTTGTTTCCAACCACCTGTGCATATCTCTTGCACCTGATATTTAGAAATATGTTGCACGTGAACATAAATATTCCATTTAATTTAGTTGTAACAGAAACTGTTGATACTGACTGAATAGCAATTTTGCAATGCCTCTTTTGATAGTAGTGCAGATCACCTCACTGGAATAGGACAGGGGTGTCAAACTCTGTTTCATTGAGGGACACATCAAGGTTGTCTTGACCTTAGGAAGTGGGGGGAGCATGGCCAGCTAGATGTCACTCATGTTGGGAACTCCTGTGGTGGCCCG